CACGTGATGTGCATGCTCAGCTGTGACATCATAATCCAGAAAATGCGTGACTTTCTAGGTCTCACGCGATCACCTGATTATCCTTCGTGACTTCATCACAGATACATGTCACTACAGAACAGGGACGTTCATAACGTTGGGTCGGTTCCTTTTGGAACAGTCGTGTTGTTTAAAGCGCACGAGGTCCACAGTGGAAATGAGGCCAGAACTGACTTTCCGGAGAGCATTGCAAAAAGCTGTAAACGAAGGAAATGGCTACGAATTCTAAGCTAAGAGTTTATCTTATCATGATCATAATGGTTCTGCAAGCGAACATTCAAACACCAAAGGATTGGTGAAGTCAAAGCGCCCGAAAATGTACGCATGCGCATTGTAGTTAAGTTTTCGACATCATCTGATAAGTTGCAAAATAGGACCTTTGTCACATCAGTTAGGTATTTAATAGTTCAGCTTTGGAACTACAAGGAATAGTAATTCGAGGTGCTTTTCGACCCTGAAACAACAGAATTGTGGCCAGAAATAGAAAGCATAAGGAAGGGACAATAACATCGATAATCTTGGCGTTCGTTTAAGAAAGTGATAAATTTTAAAATTCATACTGAAACTGAAATTCAAAATGTTACCAAATAAGAGGATATGAACCTTTTTAAGGATTGTTCCTATTGTTGTCATGGTCAAAGGCGTTTACGAACTAGTTACCTTATGTCTACAAATTGCAGCTGTAAGTTTTGTAAATAAATTTATGTAAATAAAACTTGTAAATACACTTGTAAACAAATAAATTAGGAACACAGTTTAACTTGTGGTTCATGTTCTGACGGTAATTTAGGCCAGAAACATTTAATTCTAGCTGGCTATCCAGCGGGGTATACTAACCAATGACGTCCCAGTTACAGATACCAGTCAGGCCATCTAACTACGTATACCGTAGACTGATGAGCCACGGAACAACTTGTGGTAAACGTGGCCGTATATTTGGCTCGATCCTGTATCAGATTGTATCCTGTATCACTGAATACCTTGAGTTTCGCCAATTCGTACAGAATGCTTTATTAGTCGATCCTCTATTAAGGGTTTACCTTCGGGGGGGGGG